GGTGAACAACTTGTGTTTCGCGCGCTCATATGACCTTAGCAGTTATGAGCGCCGTAAAACCTTATACTATACATACATATACATTTGGTACCAGCCTTCTGATTTGCTGTTTTCATCACATTGGACCCGATCGAGACTAGAAAATCAAATGTTTGATTTTGGAGGATCTGAACAAATAACACAAAAAATGGTAACTTTTACCTTTCTATGATGGAAAATATGACCGGTGTCAAATGTATCCAATCATATCAAATAGAGATTTGACGAAACTTTCTGCAATGAGCAGTGGGTGATAGGCTGGGGCTATTGTTAGGGGCATTATGACACAGTTCCAACTCTATCCGAGTTCGTTTCTGTTTGACAAGTGTTTGGTTGATGGCTATTATAATCATAATCTTTTCGGGTTCCGTTCCGTACATGATTGTGCAGGTTCGGCATTTTGAAAAAAATGTGCTTAAGCAGTCATGGCACCTTTCCTTTCAGCACGGGTAAAGTGTTGGCGCCACACGGCGGGGAGAACTGTGCCTGGGGGAAACAGATACTCACTACCTGCTTTCCGTGGAGAGCGTTTTCGTCATCATATGTGAGGCAGCGTGGTGGAATCAGGCTCTCGTCATTTTTTGGACACATAGAGTTATTGGTATCATCTTAAAGCTTGTTCACTTTGTCTTTATTTGGATGAAAAAATTATCCGTTTATCTTAAATACAATTCGAGATATTTGAGAATGCAGGAGGTGGGGGTCACCTGATTTCAGAAGTAAAACTAGTGAGAAAATGAAATGACCGCCAAAGATTTCCTTAGCTTAAGAGTCCGTGGTAACTGAAAATTTACATCTTTTGTGATGTGCATCTAATCATCGTTTTTCAGTAAAATCCACACAGAAATGAGTTCTTTAATGGACATAAAAGGTGTTGAGCCGAAAAACAAAAATCTGATCAAAAATTCACAAACCTGCGGAAAAATGCAAGTTTCTTCACTTTTATTATTTTGACGAGAGCCTGATTCCACCACGCTGCCTCACATATATTGACATCCCCTCATCTCTCTCTCTCTCTCTCTCT